TCCTCCTCCCAGTCCTCCCTCTGCCCTGCATCACCCATGGGCATTGCAGCTGTTGTATCCACACTGGCCCACACACACTCCATGACCACCCTTGGCATCTCAAGGCTGGGAGCAGCTCACTTCAGGGGTGTGATCTATGCATGAAGGACAGACTCGGAGAAGCCAGTCCAGGTCCTGGAAGCAGGCTAAGAGCTGGTATCGAATTTGAGGGCCAGGTGTCCCGGGGGGGGGCGGGGGGCCTAAAAAAGAAGAGTTGGCTTGAAGCCATGGCCATCTTGCCCAACAGGATTCTAAGAGGACCAGCATGAGGCCTAGCAAAGCAGTTCTCCTCAACTCTGGTTGCCTTTGGGGCACATGAGCCTGGGGCGGGGCGGGGGCGGGGTCCGCGACTGTGGTCTGAGGGCAGTGATGGATGCCACATTACAAAGGCTACACTCTCCAGGCCACTGCCACCCTGCTGTCCAAGCAGCCTCAGGAAAATAACATATAGAAAAGTGTCCTGGGAAGAAGCTCAAATAATGAGGTCAGTTTAAGAATTCTTTTTATTTATTTTTTCTCCAAAATTATCCAAGTGTGGTTTTCTCTCTGTAGAATACATTATTTTACGCCTTATGCAAATCATTATTTGTTAGCTCTAAATGAGGTGGAGTGAGTTGAAATACTAAAAATACTTTGCAACTTGACTCTAAGGAATTGTGGAGAAAATCCTGGTTTGTGAGCTGGGTCCTGGCTCCAGCTCCATTGTTAACAAGCCACCCTGGGCAAGTCACTTAACCTCCCACCCCTGATCTTGTGTTCCAGGAAAGCACCCTCATAGCAGAGGCCCTGCGGACATAGAAAAGGGAGGGGAGGGTAAGAAATCAATCAAAGGACTGGTATGCGTGCATTTAAGCATAACCTATGGACGCAGAAACTAGGGGGCTGAGGTCCTGTGCTGAGAGGCAGGAGTGGGTAGGAAGAGGTCAATGGGGGAAAAAGGAGACATATGTAATACTTTCAACAATAAAGAATTAATAAAATACTCGATAAAAAAAATGAGATGTAGATCAAATGTAAAAATACACAAAATATTTATTTTGGAAATCACACAGTGAAGTTATCTAGAAATCTGTGTAGGCTGATAAAGTATACTGTTAATGTGGAGAAGAACTTTCTTCATAGCTTCTTTTTAACTTTTAAATAGTGAAAATATTATGTAATGTCTTAGGGCATTATTTTCAAAGATATGCCTGGTTTTTAGGATGTAGGAAACAAAAGAGAAGCACGTTTAGAAAATCATTTTTCTTGGGGAAATGTCCATGTTAGTTTCTGCCTTGTGTGATTTTACACTGAAGCTAGGATGTGCAATAAATAGGCAGGTCAGGTTACAAGAGGCATGTTCACAGTGAATTACTGCAACTTCTAAGTGTAATTCAAAATAGCTTTAAAAAAATCCACCATTCAATAGTAAAGCACCATATATGTGTGCAAGAACTGAAAATAACTTACTTATTACATCTAGGTCCAGAAATATATTTTTAAGAGTCACTGTGCAAGATATCACATATGAAGGAATTGATTAGCTATTTTCCTAACTTAAGGTAGAATGGAATAGTTTCCCTTTTGACATAGTTAATCATTAATCAGGTAGTGCCTTATTCTGCTTAACAGCTTTCTATTTATATCAAACTAGAGGCTCAATGCATGAAGATTCATGCAAGAATAGGCTTTTCTTCCCCTGGCTGCTGGCACTGCCTTCGCCCCAGCCAGAGCCGCCTTCCACCTTCGTGCGCTGCCCAGGGGCCCAGAGTGGCCAGGGCAGGGCAGAACGCCTGCATCGTTGCCATGGCGATGACACAGCATCCCAGCCCGGTCAAGAATAGGCTTTCCTTCCCCTGGCTGCTGGCATTGCCTTCGCATCAGCCAGAGCCGCCTTCCACCTTCGTGCGCTGCCCAGGGGCCCAGGGCAGGACGGAATGCCTGCATCGTTGCCATGGTGACGACACAAGCATCCCAGCCTGGTCACCGCCATCTTTGTCACATCAATTTGCATATTTCCTCCTTATTGGCTGTGGGTACCACCATCTTTGTCATGCAGTGATGGTCAATTTGCATATTCTGTCTTTATTAGATAGGATACCTTTTTCTCACTATCACCTGACATTTAGTACACATATTATCATCATATTCATCAGGTAATAAGGGCAATAGGTCCCATGAAAAGTGAAACTTATATAAAATAAAATTCAGTTCTTTGAAACTAGATTTTTAAATTATTTCAATTCAAGGATGAATTAAAAGTAAGTGTATGATATGCTCTTCATACGTATTTAATTCTCCCAAACCTTGAACTCTTGGTTTTGCTGTCCCACTGCCTTAGAGCTTTAGAACAAGGTCTCAGGAAAATAACATATAGAAAAGTGTCCTGGGAAGAAGCCAAAATTTATAAGCCAAAATTTGTTTATTTGTTAATCAGATGTTAAATACAACATCTCATATATTCTTACCATTACAAACATTGTGTGGTACAATGTTCCACAAATTCCATTTAATTACTAACCTCCAACGGTCTGAGGGACAGTGAATTGGCCCCCTGTTTAAAAAGTTTGAGGACCCCTGCTTTAGAATCTTGCCCCAAGACTTCCACATAGGACAGCACCATCTCAGATTGTGACCACGAGCCTCATGTGGTTATTGAGCACTTGAAATGTGTCTAGGGCAGCTAAGGAACTGAATTTTTAATTGCATTTAGTAATTTAATACAAATTCCATTTAATTACTAGAAAACCGATGAGTGTGGTTGGAACAATTTGAGTACATGAGTCTACTTGTTCACCTGCAAATGTTATATAGTTTAAATAGGATCAGGTATTTCCCTTATTTCGTTTTGCTTAATTCATTGTGACTACCAGATAATTTGAAGTTATGTGTATGGCTCCCATTATATTTATACTGGGCAGCACTGGCATAGAATATGGCTGGCCTTGGTAAAACTAGCCTCTCTGTCTGTCTCCCAGGTTGGTTATTTCTATCAAGACTAGGCTGATGTTTGGCTCCTTTATATTAGTCATTTGTCTTTGAGTTAAATAAAAACACTGAATATGGTCAAAATGTAGGATGAACCAAAAACATCATTGGAGTAGACATTTTTATTCTGTGCTAGTCCCAGTGACACTGGAGTGTTTTTAAGTGATATTAAATGATCCAAAACTGGTTGGTTTTAAGGTTCTTAAA